TCTGATACACCCATAATTCCAGACTCAGAAACCTGGCTCTTGCCGAACCCTGCGTGTAAGTCCCAAACTCAGAACACGAAGGGGGAAGAAATGATCCACTTCAAGGGGCTGCGGCTCTTTCACGAAGCATTTTGAGAACAACTCCAACCAAGTGCGATAACCTGAATCCTCAAGCCTCAAACCATGAACCCCCCCTGACTCCTGGAGGCCTTGGTGCGCGGAATTCCCCAACGCCCTAGGTATAAGGTGTTTAGGGTCCTGCAGGATCTTGCGTATCCGCTGTATGATTTCCGTTTTGTGGAACCATCCAAGGCCTCGCTGTGAGCTTTCGCAGCACTGCATCGCCAGCGCTTGCAGCAGGGAGTTCAAAAAGAGCTTGCCCTCCCTTCAGGATTGTATCGTATTGGGGTCCGCATTAAGGGATTCACCCCGTTTTAGGAAACTCGTATAGAGCATGGTTTAGTGCTTAAACGTGCTGAGGATTTAGGTTGAGTTTGGGGTTGCGGGTGAGAGGATTATGTAGGGTTTCCGGTTACGGGTCAAACCCAGGAGACCTTGCAGTACCTCACATACCTGATACCATTGCAAGTACAGCATTCAGTGATTTGTAGTTGTAAGGTTGTCTCCATCCACCTTTGCAGCATGCCACAGTTGGGTTGAAGGTATTGGAGGTTCACAGTTTAGATTGCAGGGTCGACATTTTTAAGTGAAGAAGTCTGCCATCTGCGTCCTTCACCTTCCGCAAAGGGTTAGAGGGATTTTAGGACGGCAGGGAAGCGGTATTGAGATTCCGTTCCTGCAAAGCATCCAGACGCAACCAGCTTTTCCACAGATCAGAATTCTTCGAGCCTGTTGTTATATTGGTAATTCATCAGCGCTAGTAGGGAAATTGGAAGTATAGTTATGGGTTATGAGCCCTTGTCAAAGGTATCGGACATGTCCTGCAGGTTCTTGAAACTAGCGTATGTCCGGGGAAGATGTAGCCTGTGATTCGAGAAGGTCCATCAAGAGTGATCAAGGGTGTAGGGTAAATGGGTTGATGACTGGGGTTTAGAGTGCTATGTGTAGCTTGGGCATTCAGAGTTGAATTTTTCATATGGAAGGCAGTGTTGATCCTGACATTGGCCCGAATTTTTGAAAGGTTTGGACTAAAGTGACTTCTTCATCTTCTTCATGCCCCTAGTCTACCTAGACGAGGACTCCAATGGTCTTAGGTGGTTTGAGCTTTTGGCACATACCTTCGATGCGAAAGCTGTGCGTTAGATGGCTTATCCCAGCCCGTACTTCGGCACATACCTAGACAGCCCATGGCACTACAAATTGTGGAGATTGGTGGTGGTGAGAGTTTTCTCATAGCCTGTTCAAGGGGGACCGCATAGGCGGCCTGGGTGTGTAGGCTTGATCATCGACAGATGCCCCGGAAAGCTTTCCTCCCTGGTGGCCTGGAAAGCACGCGAGATCCTAAGTGCTCAGAGCGCAGAGTTTTTAAATGGGTTGGGGTTTAGTTTAGCTATTAGGCTGTCCCTCTGTCTATGCTCTTCGGCAAGATACTCAGCCAAGGATGCCACACCAAGCTGCCAGACTGCATTCCTTAAAGCGCACAGCAGGGTGTGTCAGGGGACTACTATGGGGAGAGATGCTCGGAGTTTAGACTATAGCTCATATGTAGCTCTTTTTGGGGCGGTTTACTACTATACAGTAGCCCCCCTGCACAGCACAAATGGCAACAAACAACTCCAAAGGTTTATTTGGGGGTTTCCTAAAATTAGGGGTACCATTTTGGGGGTCCCTATAATAACGGATTATAGTATTTTAGGGGTCTATATTGGGGTCCCCCTATTTAAGGAAAGTACCATTTCTGGAAGGAGCATCCAGCCTGGCTAAAGCCGGCTTGGACTTGATAAGCTCGTCGTCTGCTCTTGCCTTCTTTCAGGAACGGAATGCAACCCTAAACGTCCAATTACTTGGACCCTTTGGGCGATTCATTCTTAGCCTGGAGCATCCTGGAATCCTAGTCTTAGTCCCTTAGCAACCACGGCTCCTTTCAAAATAGTCTCCGACACTGTAAACATATATCCTGACCACCGAGCAACCTCACGCCTTTTTACCGCAGCTTGAAGTCAAGGCGCCGGCCTCTAATATTTCAAACAAACACTTACATAACCCCAATATAACCCGAATATGCCCAAATATACCCCAATATAACCCGAATATACCCAAATATACCCCCAATATAACCCTAATATACCCTAATATAACCCAAATACGCCCCAATATAAGCCCCATATAACCCCAATTAATTACCTGTGCTACTGCTCTGTAGTCGCGAGTCAAGGAATGATTCTCCATTCTGGGGACTATGGCTACGGCATTGCTGCACCGGTCCACGTCTTCACATTGTACCAACCGCCCCCACACTTCATCTTTGGTCCTTGTAGCTCTTCATCTTTCCCTCCGACAAGTCGGGCAGCGTGTCTGACGCAAACCAGCTGGAATCATGGAGAGGGTGTAGGGTTTAGGGTAGACCCAAGATTCAGACCGAGGGTCATCATGCCAAGCTTACTTTGCTTGAGCTATCTTTTTGTTTGTTCTGTAGTGCAGTCCCTGGTCTCCTAACTTTCATGAGAGCAGCCTGCAACTGGCCCTGGATTTCAGGCTGACATAAGCAGGGTGGCACCAATCATCAACCCCCCAGTTTCCCTCAATAGGGGGACCCCAATATAGACCCCAAATACTCTAATCCTTGCCGTGGACACCTCTCAAAAAGCTACCCCTAATTTTGAGAAGCCCCCATGTTCTGATTTGTTAAAGTCGCTGTCGTTGAGCACGCAAATTTCTGCTGACATTCTCAACTCTCAGCCTACCAGCGTTCAGCCCAAACCCCTACTACCTACAGAATAAGAATAAAAAGGGTAACAATAAGAACAATGCAAATTAGGCATAAGAAGATACTAGTAATACTAAGGATAAGAAATCGTAATTTTAAGAATATTATTAATAACAACTCCAACCCTTGGCTGCATCTGCCTAGCTGCACTCTCGGTCCCTTCATGGCCTTCGTGCATTGCCGGAGCCTCACACGCCATAGGGTCCATCTGTGTTGAAAATGCGGTGGGAGACAGAGCATATGCCAGATTCGGAAGCACTCAAAGCACCGGATACCTTGTCAGCAGCCCACATGTGGACAGTTCTTGTTCCTATTACAGGTTCTGGATCTCGCGGTTATATAGGAGAGCCCGCTATTTTCTTGCTGCGCGCATGCGTTGGAGCATATTCAGTTGCTTCTTCGGCTGAGTATTTTGCAAGATCTTCTTTTTCATAAATGTCGTCAAGAGACGGAAAAAGATCACTTCCCGAGGCAGTACATAGGTAAGTGTCCACATATAGGCACTTGGCCACTGTGGGCTTGCTGATTAATCAGTAATGTGGACTACGACCTCAAGTTCTGAAGCATGCCGACTTTGAGATTATTTGCTAGAAGGGGCACGTAGCCAAGTGCATGGAGGATGCTGTAACGGACCTTCGAATTTCCACATGTAAGCCACAAGCAGACTTGAGGAAGTAATACCTCAATTTCTCCAAATGCTAACTTCACCTGGCCAATTTAAACTGTCTGCCACCAATCCTAGACTCCTAGACCCTATAAACCCTGTAAACCCTGTAAACCTCATAAACCTATAAACCCTACAAACTCTATAAACCCTACAAACCTTATACACCCTATAAACCCTACAAACCCTACAAACCCTATAAACCCGATCTCTACACCTGGGCCAAGGAGCTGATGCCACTCTACGAGGAGCGACTCATCAACCCACTTTCCATCCGCTTCTCGCAGGCTCTGAGCTTATTTTGCGTAATCTGAGACATTTGAATAAAGCAACCTCATCCTACCTCACCCTAAATGGTGGTTTACATAGGCAATCATACGAAAACGGCCTTAAATTGGGAATTGAAATTATTTTCATTTACCTTTCCATACTGCATCACCCTCCCTAAGAAGGATTTGGCATGTAGGTTTGCAGCTTGATGTTTAGGTTGCCGGGTTCAGGGTTTAAGACCTCACGTTTTTGGGTTTAGGAGGGTTGAGGGGATCTATCGAGGCTTTGCCGAAGCCTCTCCGCATCTCGGACAAGCCAAAATGATGGTCTGACATAGTTTCCAGATAGGGACCACCAACAAGGTATTCGTATTTTAGGAAACACACATATGAGACCGAGGAAAGCAATGGCGCAATCAGCCCTAGGCCCACAGAGCTTTGGTTTGTCAATCCCCTGGCTCGCGTCAGGATAGGATGTGGGAGGAGTTCACAGACGGGCGCGCGGTGGAGGAGAAATGAGAGATTCCATGGAGCAAGCTTTCGGTGATTCCTCTTCACTTTTGTGAACTGTGACCCAGTTTTGGAAAGTCTCGGGTGCTTGGGGATATTGTCGCTGAGTTGTGCTTGGTTCAAATGCGTGTAGCAGCAGGGCTGCGCAGGACTGCAGCTGCAAAGAACATCACCTTCAGCCCTCCAACCTGTCCTATGTACCTGAATTGAACGAGACTTTCCTGAACCCTGAAGTATGTTGAATGACAGTTCTTCTATTTAGGTGGTTCAGGTAGAAGCTAGCCGGGCTAGACACGCCTTCTACTAGCGTCATCCTCACGCAGGTCCATGCCAGAACCCTGAACCCTAGACTCAGACGCCCAAGCCCATATTCCCAAACGCTGACTAGAACCTCTCAACCGCAAGGTTTTCCATAAAGGGCCCATGAGTAATCCTCTTGACTGGGACCTTCTCACAACTGCAGTCCCGAATTGGGCTGCTAAACGGTGACTTTGCGAAATCCTCCATTTTGTGGGCCAGGGCCTTAAACTTCAAGCCACTAAGCCCTAAGACCTAAACAGGCCGTTACCCTAAACTCGAAAGCCTAAGCCCCTACCCTAAGAACAGTTTGAACCATGAAAGACAAGAATTGCATTTTTATAGGGCCCCGGAATCTATCCCAGTACCGAAGGACACCGTGTGGGAGATCTCAGCCAAGGATGGTGGTAGCGGCTACGACCTCTTCCTGCGTGCCTCTTGCAAGCTTTGCGCGAACCCTCTATGAAGAGAGGACCCACCAAGAAGATGTAACACAAAGGAAGGTACACAAGTGGGGGTTTCTGCAAAGTGGCGGGTCCCCTTTTGGGGCCCAACAAGGAGGATTATGGTATATTGGGCTATTGTCCCCTTATGTATGGAAACTACCAAGTTTCTGAGAAGATACTTTCTATCTCCTCTTTGCTAGCCCTAAACCTTAAAGCCTTTCTCAATTGCCTGGGAAGTTGGATTTCGGCCACCTTGGGCCATCCAATAAAAACAAACCTTGGAGCGTATCATGTAGGGTTTATTCTAAACTCCTACGTAGTAATCCCCCGAAGTAACCTCGCGAATACTCCCCTATATAACTCCGTTTAAGGAATTTATGTAGATAATGGCTCATGTAGGGTTTATGCTTCAAATGATGCGCCTCTTGCTGATGTGCTTGTGCAATGATTATCAGGTGACTTTCATCTGGTCTGCATTTTAGGTTCTGAACTTGATTGCAGTTGCAGTGTGGCTTTTAGGAAGTGTCTTCTATTCTTGGGCGGCTCTTGGAATCTTATCGCAGCATGTCTGAATCTCAGACTACTAGTACGATTGTTGCCTTAATTACCTTATTACCATTGTTACTATATTTTTCGTTTAACTACAAAGAATTCTATTTCTAGTGCTAGTAGTACTACTATTCTCACAAGCCCTATGACAGACGACCCAAAGCCGGAACCCGACAGGGCCGCCATTCCCTCCAGTGGAAATCGTCCGCCTCCGACAGCAGCGACGCGAGGATGCCCTTGCTCACAGCTTGTTAGTAGGGAATGGAGGAATGGATTTTTTTATTCGCCTGCGCATCATCCTCTATCCTTGATTTCATAGTAGCAGTTTCCGTTTTCGTTCAGATTCCTTCTTATACTACATGTACAAGCAACCAGCAAGTTAGGGGATCTTGGGCACGCATGACCAATGATACAGGGGTATGTGCATGAGAGTGCATGTTGTCTAATTCAGAGTTTGAACGTCTAATACAGACTCCAGTATAGAGCAAGAAGATGCATTGTCTCTAGGTATAGACAGCCATTCACAAGAAAAAATACAACCTTGCTTTCAATCACCAGAAAACACTACTCAGAAGGAGGAGCTCGGGTGACAACAGCTATCACATATTGTGGTCTATGTTCAAGGGCGTTTGTAGCAAAAGTTATACGGATGGACCACCAACACCAGAGGGAGATACACGTCTTCTTTGCTAACTCACCTTTTGTCCTCTCAGCTATGATAAGATGGCTCCGAAGGACTGTTAAAAGCCGGGTTTCTTGTTTCTTCTGGAAGGGAGGCACTACCTGGTAGAAACGTTCCGTTTCCATTTGGTCCTTCTTCGAATCATGGCAGGAGGCTTACCAGTGCTAGAAATGCTTCAGCCTCCAGAAAACACGATCTAAAGATGATGGCGTTTTTTGTGTCGCCTTGTATTCCTGAGCCTACCATTACATTGAAAGCACGCGCAGATACACCTAGAGTGCAGAGGCGTCTGCAATAGGAACAGGAACCCAACACGAGTTTTTGTGGGGAGATGCTATAGTAGTAGTTGCCAATCCAATAGCAACTTTGATTATGTCTTCCTTTTGGGTATAGTGCTTTATAAGAGCAATGAATCTTACTAGGTTCAGCCACCAAAAACGGGTTGGTTGCATATCATGCACAGATTGTTCTGCTGCAGGCATGGCTGGAAAAGGATTCAAGCATCAGACTCCTGAACCCCAAACCCTAAGCTCTAAACCCTATGACCCTCAACCCCAAACCCTCATGTTCACCAACCCTAAGAGACCCTTTGTGCTAGGGCTCGGAAGCTATGTACAACGAGCGGGGGGAACGTATCTACGGCCTCTCAGTTGCACAGTAGGCTATGCTACTTCAGAACACATGGGGGTCTCCCAAAATTAGCGGTACCATTATGCGGGTCCCTATAATAAGGATTATAGTATTTCGGAGTCTATATGGGGTCCCCTTATCTAGGGTTAACAACCACATCTTTCCGTTTCAAGTTTCAGGTTTTACTGTAGGAGATGTCCCAGTTACTGGCCGTGTCAGAACTGGTCTAAAAAGATGTCTCAGAAGAGGCTCCGTGTCATGAGCGTTTTCGCGTCTGAATGCTAGATGTCCCGATGTAGTGTATTCCGGTGTCCTAAATTCAAAATATTACATAGGACAATGGAATACAGCACACAAGGACATCCGGCATTATGATTCTATTATATTTGCTCGTACGACCAAAAGTGCATGGCGGGGCTTTGCTGAGTTACTGGCAGGAGTATGCAAGCGTTAGCAACAACTTCGGGTTCCGTACTTGTGACTACAAAGAACAAGTTACGCGGATTCTTCTTTTTCCAAGCCTGTCTGTCCCTGAACTTCAAGCCCTCAAACCTCTGACCTGGATGTGTCCTGACTGCAAAGTGGATTTCTTTGCGTGTCAGCAGGGCTTCTCCAATTTGCCCATATCCCAGATAGTTAGTAGGCGCTGGCATGCGCGTATGTAAACAAGTGTGTGTATATATACATATATATATACATACATATCCATGCGTGTATTTCTATACACATGTATACATGTGAGTCTTTGAGTGCGATACTGCCCAAGAATCTAGGCTGTATGTGAAGGAATAAGCCGTTGAAAGCCTGCCATGTTTCACTCTTGCCGAGGGCCAATTTTCCAGGATGGGCTTATTAGCATTATTATTCACTAAGTACTATTAGTATTTGTTCTCATAGTTACTATTCTTTTTTTTGCAAGAGTGCTGAACTGCTTATGTCCTAAACCTGTTCATCCAGCATTGTTTCAGTCCTGGCATGTACTGTTAAGTCACCACGAAGAAGATAGGAAAGTTCCAAGGATGGATCGCGTAATTCCTTAGTAGCCCCAGGACCTTTCCAAATCCCTAAACACCCACCTTCAGGCTCTGAAGCCCCTAGCCCCAGCCCAACAACGTCTGAATGATGCCAGATAGGATGCTTCTCAAAACCCCAAACCCTACACCCTAAACTAAACCTTTAAACCCTTAACCCCAAAACCCAAAACCCTAAACTAAACCTTTAAACCCTTAACCCCAAAACCCAAAATCCTAAACTAAACCTTTAAACCCTAAACCCCAAAACCCAACACCCTAAACTAAACCTTTAAACCCTTAACCCCAAAAACCCTAAACCCTAAACTAAACCCCTAAACCCCAAAACCCTAAACCCTCAACCCTAACCAGGATGCTATCAACTCACTGAACCGTGATTCTCCCTTGCGTAGCTCGGACATGTGCTACCAAATCTTGACCCCAAGGTGAGGAGTCGTGGCGGGGACCTCAAGTGTCTCCCAGAATCCCCCAAATGTAGGCTATAGGGTTTGGAGTCTAAGGTCCTAAGCTCTATAAGGTCTTCCCGAGCCCCGAAAGTATGTACGATAATGGCCTTCTGGCCTATTGTCATGGGTTTTGGGCTATTATTCTACCTACTTTTGCCGCCCAGGTAGTTCATGATTAGAGTCATCAGGCTTCTCAAGCATCTGGCCCCTCTTTGCAGGTCCTGAGGTTAGAGACTATGTGTGTAGGGTTCAGGGTTTAGGGTTTAGGTGGGGAGTGTACGATAATAGGTGGAACGGAGTCTTGAGACATTGACATGGCTGGAGCACACCCTATACCGTGCAGAACTCGGCTTGCAGACGGGAATTCTTTGCCAACATCGCCATAAACCACCGACACCCCAAGCAACCAAGGGATTAGAACCAGGAGTTCATTCCCACGAAGGGAACATCCTAATGATAGGAGGAAGAGGAAGGGCATGTAAGAATGTTTGAGCTTTTATTTTCGCACCGGCTGTGAGCTGGCAAAGGCTTCATGTTAATTCAGCCCTTAAGAGGCAGAGGCTGGGTTGGATTTGAGGCTCTGGAATTGCTGTTTGATCATGGAGTTCATTCCCTAAAGGCAACTCCAAAACTTATCCTCCCCTATAATGAAATCCCAAGGGTGCAGAAACTCCCGTTGAATTCCATCATTTAATCGTCTTTCCGCAAGACTTAACTACCGAACAAAGCCGCAATACCTCGGTTTAGGCTTGGCAAATGCTGGCAACACATTTCCTGGCTGCCAGAAAAATGATGATGATCTTGTCTGCCCGAGAAAAGCCAAAGGGTCCATGTACCCAATAATTGGGTATTTGGGTTTTGGGTTTGGCTTCTGGAAGGTCATGCGTCAACAGGCACATAGTCTCCTTAGAAACTGAAGGTAGCCCCCATGGATGCCAGAAGTGGGAAACCGCTTTATGAGACCCTCAAGTAATATCCAAGTATTTTCCCGAGTGCGTAGCAGAAGGGTTCCCGTTTTAAGGTTGGGGTCCAGGGGTCCAGGAGGCGACGTGAGGTCGTTGCGTTTATGTTCGCCAAGCGTTCGCAAGCGTCCACAAGCGTTTGCAAGCGTCCGCAAGTGTCCGCAAGCGTTCGCGAGTGTCGGAGAGTGTCGCGCATCCTCGGGAGTCGCAAATCGTCGCGAAAC